GAACAGTCAACTAATGAAAACCTTCTCAATGTACATTTACAATTACTTTCAAGTAAACCATATTGCAATGTATAAAAAAACAGTTGTATTACAGTTCCCTTTTCTTCTTGATTCTTGCTTCTTCTTGGTGTTTTTTTTATAATTCATCCAAAGGTATACTTATTGACGAGCCGCTACTGAACAATACCATAACATTAACAATTACATAATTTTTTTGAAACTACAGAAAAGTGCCTAATTAGTAGGATTTTAATATTAATTGACTCGTAACTCTTAAAACACGTTTAAAAAAATATTAATACATAATGGATTCGCAGCAACAAAATTTCTTTTTTAATTACGTTTGCTCAGTAATAGATAAATATTGAAGAACAATACGAACAGAGATTCGTTGCTTGTAATTTATTTAAGACGTAGTAACTATTAATTTTACGATAATAAATAGTAAAATTGTCATTTTGCGAAATTCGGAATTTATTGAGATGATATAATAAATGTGCACACGTTTGGAAAGAACGATCAACAATAATAATAATAATAATTACGCAATTTGATTTACGCACAGGTAATTAATAATAAATATTCAATCGACGATTATGATCAGCAAAATCTTTTTAATGTTATAGACAGGTGCATTGACACATGTGTCATAACATGTGCACAACAATTAAAATGCAGTGTAAAGTGTTACACATTTCGCATTTCCACTAGTTAAGCCCGTTCAAATTATAGAAGAAAGTGGTTTACACTTATCTCTTATTGATATCATACTTAACGCTTAACGGTGCTGCAACAGAAACAGCTAACCGCATGCGCACCGGTCATGTGCATGTACATACCCTCATCGTCCTAACGTAGCAGTAAACTGTAGTATAATGCAATAGGGGTCAATAGAATTGACTAAAATCTATTTATATGGTTTAAACTTAAACGTTTGCTTATTTAAAAACCGCGCGCTGCCACTGGTTTTCGCTTAGAAGTGGGCGCGTCGTGTGTTATGACCTGATGCACCATCAAAATTATGGTTGCTGCAAAACGCCTGATTTCTTTCAACAAAAAAGGATTCCAATCCTGTGCATCGTTATTCATACGTTAAAGAAGATGATAGGGAATCATCTAAATAACGATAACACATAAACAACTGTGACTGGGATCTCCTGGTAATCTTTGTCCGGGTCATGACCATTTCGACCATCTTCTCTAATAGTTTATAATGTAACTCACAATCAACCAACTTTCTATCAAGTGGATCCAGGCCTTGAGCCGATGTAAATTCCTCATAGGCGAATCGAACTATTGTTTGCAGCGAAACATGCACGACGTAGGTGTTTCGACCTATTGATTTATTATCGCTAATAAATAATGCAACAATCGGGGGAGGCTGTGTGTGACTGATGATATAACGTCGATAGTTAAAAAGTAAAATCGATCACAACTTCCGACAAACTGGTCGTATAATTTGTTCGCGATAACGACTCAAAATTGCTCCAGCGTCTCATTATTTCAGGATAAGTTAAAATCCAAAAGCGTACTTTTTGGTTTTTCGGCATTGTTGAGAGCGTTACTATATGAAATATAAGGAAGAACCAATCAAGAGAGAAGTCTTTTCTGATTTCCACAATCGTTTAGTTCTTATCGTAAAATTTTGTGGACTTTTGAGCAGTAAATGAGGAGAAAAGGGCAAGTTTTGTTTCTTAATTTTCCAAATTAGTTCTTCACTGGCAATGTAACGTTTTATTTTTGTAATGGTTCTTAAATTTGTAACAAAAATAATTCAATTTGTCAGATCTTTTCCTAGCCAAAACATGAGAAACACAATTCGCTGATGTATTCACTTTCAGTTCAGTTACAGCGCTGTTCTAACCTCAAAACACAGTGGCGTCCCCTATTCCTTTGTTGAAAAGTAGCTACCCGGGACAAACCACATTTACTAGGGCTGTTTTCGGGACAAATTCGAGTTCGCATTTAAAAAATACAGCGAAAGTGATTATTGACAGTAATTGCAACATCCTTAAAGTTCCTCAATATCCTGATACTTTTAGTATTATTGTAACTATGGTTTTTCGAAGATTAATAAAAGTTGTTAAATTTAAAAGTAAAGGCAAAGGTCTAGATGATGGCCCCCAACCCCTTCGGGGGTGGGAATGGGGGGATCGAAAGAGGTCTCCCCCACCACTTTACCATAAAAAGTTTGTGGCGGTCTCACCCCCATAAAAAGTTATAGGAGTTCAAAGTTAATAAATATGCCAATTTTTATACATTTCTAGGCATGTAAATATTTATATAGTCATTCTTAAACAATATTCAAAGGTAAAACTAATGAAAAATACATAAAAATATTGAGAAAGTTATATAAAACATTATTTAAATATCTTTATCAATAGGGTAGGTTAGGTTAGGTTATCGGGTTTTGTTCAAGTGACCACCCTCTTTCGATCCCCCACCTCCACCCGCTTGAAAATAATTTTTTTATTGAATTTTATTTGAATTATAGTCTATGAAAATTGTCAAAATAATCAACTTTCAACCACCATAACTTTTTATGGGGGTGAGACCGCCGCAAATTTTTTATGGGGTTTTACTCAGGTGACCACACTTTTTCGATCCCCCCTACGCCCACCCCCATAGCTTTTTATGGGGATGAGACCGCCACGAACTTTTTATGGTACAGTGGTGGGGGAGACCTCCTCTTTCGATCCCACTCACCCCAACCCCTTTCGGGGGTGGTGCCATCATCTAGATATTTACCAAAGTAATTACCAAAGCAATTTAGTACACCCTATGTATGTATGTATGACTTCTAGCATTCAGATATTTTTTGTTCGGAAAAATCTATCAGAAAACGGTTCTTTTTCCAGTGAAAAACATCTGTGAATGACCTTACGAATACTAAAGTGTAGAAACTGGATCCCGCGGTCAGTAAATTGTTTTAATAAACCACAACAACAATTAACTAGGGATTTTAATAATTTTAGCAACACAATGCTTAACTTACTAACCAACAGAAACATTATTTATGTTCATAAAATTTTCCAAACTGTTTCAAAATTTATAAATGCGACCGACAAACATCAAAATCCAATTAAATTAAAGATGGGGTCCAATTAATGTGTAGCCACAGTTTATGTTTGCTACCTAGACAGCTAATTGATTTCCTGAATAAATTTCAATAAGGAAGAAAGATGTAAGAATGATTATTTCCAGGTAATAATCAATATTATGACCCGGAGACTTCATTTGGAATTTACTTTCGTCTGGACCTCGTTATACCAGTTTTATAGACTCAGTGGCGTGTTTTAAATAAAATACGTTTTAAAGGCAAGAGATTCGTATGATTAGAGGTCGAGCGGCATGGCCTAAAGGTTTAGGCCATTGCTTGGCATTCGGGAGGACACTGGATCGATTCCGGGTGCGTCTGTTGGTCCCCAAGTCTTTTTCTGTGCTTTTCTTGGTTCACTTAGAATTAGGAAAATGTTAGGACAGTAATATACCACTCGTCCATCCTACCATTCTAAGAGACTAAAGAGGGACTTCCGCCCTATACTCCAACGTAGTATATAGAATGACGACGACCAGAATTTTCGACGCCTCTGTGTCTGCTCCGTGCGTTTATATTATGGTCAGACGCCCTCTGTTTATTAATACATACCTACCTGTGATTCCAAACCAATAATAATTAATTAATCAGAAAAATGCGGCACAGGTGTTATTTTTCTCAGTAATTGGTTGTACGTTCACAAACAGCAGACTGGCCCACGTGTCGGTACGCAATCTATATACATTCGTAGTATGTGTGTGCGTGAAAATGTATCGACATTTTTTTTTGCTGTACAAACTGTTAATGTTTCGTATAATTTGGTAAACACCATTAAATTACACAGGTGTTCTTTTCGATATTTCCAGTGCTTCATAAAAATAATTTTAAAGTATTTTACAACTAGTCAAACCCGTCCAAATTTGAGTGGCACATGGTACTGACATTTTAATCAAAACGATCCCAAGTAATAATATTCGAAACATCAAACTTTTTAGGTTATAATATACCTGCAACTGTTTAGATTCACTTGGAATGTGTCAAATTAATTCTGAATTTCGAAAGTAGACCTAGGAAGCTACTTCTACCTTTTTATTAAATATCTTAATGTGCATCAAATAATCTAATTTCAGAGTATTGTATCATCAGCGATCTTAGCTGCACCGATTTCTCTCAATTCAACAAAAAGACCTTAGCAGTCGTGCTTCAAATAGAATCTTTTTTGCAGATGTGTTATCAAGATTCAAAATTACTGCGACTGATTTCAGCCCGTCTACAACGTTCTGGCTGGTCATGGTCAACCGAATGATGTTTCGTTTGAATCCAAAATTGTATTTTGACTTATAAACCTGTTATAAGCTACCTCTTTATAATTTGTATATGATAATAATTAATGACCATGTAATAATTTTAATAATTGAAGTGCTTTTAATGTCTGTAAGAGACCGTATTTAGCTCTCCCTTCCAAATAAATTTCTGACTACGGACCTGTGTTACGGATTAATTAATAATAAATATCTAACATTAAATTATGCCCAACTGCAAACAAATACGATGTCAAAGATGTTGCCTAGCATTCAAGAAACCGGGACTATTTAAATGGTCTTTTGTTTAATGCGAAACTAATTTTTGTTTATTTATGTTGCATCCCCTATCATAAGATTATAATATAAATAATTAAGTAGGTAATTTATTAATATGGTGACGTATATTAATTTAATAAATACTGAACACTCTAAAAGGTAACATTTTGTAAAAAATTCTAAAATATCTTAATTTATTTATCAGAAATTTATCAATTTCAGATAAAATGCGTTTATCAGATTTACAAATGTTTCCTTGAACTCTACTTTGATAAAAATTAAAAACGTTGTTTGTTCAATAATATTCTTTTCCTGGTTCAAAAAAAAAAGCAAACTAAAATTGAGACCCGGTTTAATTTTTTTTTGTAAAATATCAATGTACGAATGGTAATCCTTCGTTTATAGATATAGAAGTATAATTAAATATGAATTAAGCAGGTACTTAATCAGGTTTGTTAGGATTGCGATAAACAAGGTAAATGGGGGACTTTAATATAGTTGTTGCGTTGTTGTTATTATTACTCCACGTCAGAGAACTCCAAGTTTCACTTCTCACCTGAATCAATTCATATCATATTCGTCTCACGTTAAAAATGTTGCAGTAATATTAAAAGATCAAAGTGATAGATCACGGTAGCCACTGTAGTTATGACAAATGTTGCAGGCACCTATTTAATTTATTCTGCATTAATTTTAATTATTATCATTAGTAGATAACATACGGTAATTATTTAACAAAAGTGCGTCAACATAAGTTGTCTAATATTCAAGTAAAACAGCTGGTTGTTTAAAACGCGAATTTGAATATCAGGAAGTTCCAAAAATGAACGCCAATGAAAAAAATGGCTTTCAAGTAAGTACCAATTTACTTTTTGTATTTCATAAATAAGAAGTACCTAAGTTATTTGATGTAAGTAATGAAAAATTAGTACTAGTGTAATGTAATTAAACTACGATGTGATTATTCACCGGTACTGTACCGGTGACTGAGAAACTATTCGCTGGTACCGTGCCGGTGACCAATAAGCTATTCGCTGGTACCGTGCCGGTGACTTCAAAGCTATTAGTTTATTAGTTTCATTGATTTTGAATTAGAAGCTTAAATTCGTGCTTCATTTATTTAAATAATTAAATTTTTAACTTACATTAGTTTAATTAAATAGAGTTAATTATTTTTCGGCATATAAACTCACCATCTCACTAGTTTTTGGCTAAATATTTGGTATTCAGGTATTTACGTTGTGTAAAGACGTTCTCAATTCTCAGTGGAAGAAAAGGAATTTTTGAATTTTGCTTTTTTATTAAGGTTTAATTCTGTGGAAAACTAGTGTGAAATTTTTTAGTTCAAAACGATTTTCAATGCCTGATAATCTTAATCTCTTAAGTCCCCTCCACCCTTAGAGCATATAATATAATATTAATAACATTATTATTATTCATAAACCATGTGAAATATAACTAATCAACAATGTTTCGTACAACGTGTGGTTAGCCATCGGTACCGTACCAGTGAGTAGCTGCTTATCCACCGGTACTGTACCAGTGAATAGCTTCTTAGCCACCGGTACTGTACCAGTGAGTAGCTTCCTAGCCACCGGTACTGTACCAGTGAACAGCTTCTTAGTCACCGGTACAGTGAGTAGCTTCTTAGCCACCGGTACTGTACCAGTAAATAGCTTGTTAGCCACCGGTACTGTACCAGTGAATAGCTTCTTAGCCACCAGTATAGTACCGGTGAATAGCTTCTTAGTCGCCGGTAAAGTGAGTAGCTTCCTAGCCACCGGGTCTGTACCAGTGAATAGCTTCTTAGCCACCAGTATAGTACCGGTGAATAGCTTCTTAGTCGCCGGTAAAGTGAGTAGCTTCTTAGCCACCGGTACTGTACCAGTGAATAGCTTCTTAGTCACCGGTACAGTGAGTAGCTTCTTAGCCACCGGTACTGTAACAGTGAGTAGCTTCCTAGCCACCGGTACTGTACCAGTGAATAACTTCTTAGCCACCGGTAAAGTGAGTCGCTTCCTAGCCACCGGTACTGTACCAGTGAATAGCTTCTTAGTCACCGGTACAGTGAGTAGCTTCTTAGCCACCGGTACTGTACCAGTGTAGGCTTCTTAGCCACCGGTACTGTACCAGTGAGTAGCTTCTTAACCGCCAGTATAGTACCGATGAATAGCTTCTTAGTCACTGGTAAAGTGAGTAGCTTCTTAGCCACCATTATAGTACCGGTGAAAAGCTTCTTAGTCACCGGTACGGTACCGGTGAATAGCCCCATCTATTAAAATAATACAATTTTTCCCAGTTTTGCTGTTAACGTTCCTTCACTTTCATTATTAAAAAGGTAGGTTTCTAGAACACTCACGACTTTATCTATCACATAAAAAAATTATAATTAAAAGTTAGTAGATAATGGAAAATTAAGATAACTTCTGCATTATAGTACAACCTAATAAAATTCTTTTATTTACCTATCATAAGTGTGAATGCCTATCAGACAACGATAATTTCAATTTTAATTACGTCTAAAAGGACCGCTCTTTAAAGATCGAGACGATAAATTGTGATAGGTACTTTTAAAACAGTAAAATTACAATTACAAAAAAAATTCTTTGTTTAGCGCCAAAAGTCGAAATCATTCTAAAAATGTTACCTTGCGTTCTTTGTATATGTTTTTTTGAATAATAAACTAAAGGCCATGCATGTACAGTACATAACTTTTTACGAGTTTAGATAATGTTATTTAAATTGCCTTTTTTGTACAATGAAACACATACTAACTTTTAACTAACTGTCTGAAAACCTTCATTGAAACAATTCAACAACTTATTACGTAACAAAAACATAATGTACATACGTACATATCTTTTTTTTTTTTTCGTCAATTTTTAAACATACTTCTTAACATAATTTTGCTGTCTTTTTTTAAAGGTCGATAACTCACACAGCAGACAAAGTACAATTGATTTGTCCGGCGAGAAAAAGGTGAGCACTCATCTTTTAAGAACAATAAAAGTAAACTAATTTGATTAATTATTATCTACTTACAATAATTTTTTAGCGTAACGATGAAACCACCAAGTCTGACCTTCAATTGTTACCACAAACTGTTATTAACGAAAGTAACGATGGTGAAAATAAAGAGAAAAAACGCCATGGAATTTCCGTGTTCATAATCAATTTCAATTCGAATGTTAGACAGTACAAAGAAAAACATGATACGAAAATCAAGTTCCTTACCACTTTCTTAGTACATCTTATACTTTTAGGATATTTTTGCTGGGCAACGCAGTATTTTTTGAAACAAGGTTTTTATATTTCTTTTTTACCTCTAAAATATCCGTTACATAGACGTAGGAATATAAGGGAGGGAACATAAACTGAGGGAGGGAGATGTTATCAAGAGAAGAGTGGCGAGATATCAGGTGCCTAAATTCTATTGGCTACTGATAAAACGCACTTCTAGTGTACAGTCAATAAAATCTAGATTCTATAGGCACCTACTCCCCTCCATTGTAATGACACGCATTATACAATATTTATTCCCATGTAATAATAACACCCTCTAAACGAAAAATTGTTTCAGATATATCACTGTCTTCAACCACGTGCAATGGATATGGATTCTTAATGATAGCTTACATTATAATTTATTTTACTGTTATCTACTACCTCATTTTAAAACCTTTCGTTCTACCCTTATTATTTAAACCTTTGGCTGGCACTTACAAACGAGTATCTTCAATAAGGTAAATGACATAGAATCCCTTAGTAGAGTTAAAAAATTCCCGTCATTACTACTAATCTACGACGTGCACATAGTAGGTACGATATTACCAAGTAAGTGGCAGTACAGCGCCACCTGTAGATATTCACCGCTAACTATATTAGGTAGATCAATTGTGCTAGTTACTTTCTTCACTAGAAATAGCCTTAACAATAGTAGCTTCAGTAATTTCTTGCTTTTAAAACACATTTACCACGTTGTCAATACGTTCGATATTTTCTTTTTTGTAAAATCATTACCATAAAAGCAAACTGTCGCCAGGGGAAAACCCTAGGAAGCATCTATTGGACTTAGTTTAATACCTTTATGCTGTCAATATTCTACAAAATGTGACACAAGAATAATAAACGTAATGTAAAGGAGTTTCTAACCAATTGATTAACTTTTTTAAGGTTTATTGGACCAATAATCCATGGAATAATTCTCATTGGATGTATTGTTTTCATAGCGATTGATTCTAGGGGAAGTTTTGAAAGATTAATTCCCTTGGCTGGTTTACTATTTTTGCTTCTCTTTGGATTCGCAATCAGTAGTAATCACCGGAAGGTAATTTTTAAACAATACATTTACAAACTTTACCTCTGTGGCTGATTATTTCTTTTTCCGTAATCGATTAATTGCATTAAAAAGAAAACCTTACTTATAATATTTTATCGCAAAAGTACTAGATGCGGGACCAAATGGAAGGTTTCTTCCTTAGGCCCATTTCTACTGATTGGCTGTTACCTTGCACAGATTTTTGTTTAGATTAATTGGGACATTGTGATAGCTGGCCTAGACCTTCAGTTTCTTATTGGAATGTTAGCAATAAGATGGGAAACTGGTAGGAATGTTTTGGTATGCGTTGGCGATAAGGCGACCGCCTTTTTGTCATTTGCGAATAACGGATCGTCGTTTGTTTATGGGGACTTTTTGATTATGGAACAAGGAGTTTTTGCGTTTCAGGTAGATATTACTGCTTCATTGGTATTACTTCCTTTGTCCAAAAATTAGAGTCCCATTTGAAGAATTTTTTTTTGTTATTTATTAGGAATAGAAAATAGAAAACAAGGATCAAGTTTTTTTTGATACACCTCTTTTGATAAAGAAAAACAAAGAAGTAAGAAGGGAATTTAAACTGTCAATATCTTTCAAATTTTTATTGTTAATTTTAATGTTCTTCAATCCGTAACATCCCTAGTTTCGAATTAAAACGGAACTCTTGTATTTTCGGTTAAATTTTTGAGCGAAATCGGACCTTTTGTACATTTTATTGTATTAATGAAGCATTTTCAAGAATTTACGATTTTTGACAGGCACTATCAACAATCCTGTTCGTTGGAATGGTCGTTAGCATTCTGTTTCATCTGGGATATTTACAAATGTTCATTGTCACAGTGGGAGAATTCTTGCAATTCTTTATGGGAACTACGATTTGTGAAAGTGTCAACTCTGCTTCCAACATCATACTTGGCCAAGTAAACAATAGTGTATTCTTATACTGTTTGTGAAATTTCCTGATCAATCAATCAAATTTGATGATGTGGATTTATGATTAGATAACAAGTCTTAATTTTACGATTTAATTCCTTTTTCTTTTATTTATTTAGACCGAATCACCTCTGCTTTTGAAGCATTACTTACATCAGCTGACAGATTCGGAAATACATTCTATAATGACTTCCGGTTTCGCTACAGTATCAGGTAAGATTACAACATCATCACCTTGCCATCAGACTGGTTGGACACGCACGTACATACGTTTCCAACTTTTTGCGAATAGCAATCTAATATAGGTCTTCCTTACCGCCTCTTCATTCCTGTTATTGCTTCCAATATGACTCGAACTAACTCTTTATGGTACCGAGTGGCTTGATCTAGAGGATTAGGCCACTGCTCAGCATTCGGGAGGACGTCGGTTCGATTCCGGGTCCGCCTGCCTTGGTCCAAGTTTTTCTGCGATTTCCTTGGATCACTTAGGCAAATGCTGGGGCAATAGTAATATACCACAGATAAACTTTAATTTTCTTCTGTCTTCATTTCGTCTGTCTCATCTTTCTCACCCGAACCACCACCCATTCCCACAATTCCTGAAGAGGGCCTTCCGACGTAGTCCGAAGGGACTTCTGCCCACCAGCATTAGAGTGACTGGTGGGAGTGAAACACCTAGGTTTTTTTAATGGTCTTCCCCTTAATTAACATCCATGACGACCCCTTTCTCGTTCAATCTAATGTATACATTTTTTACATTCTTCTTACGAAAGAAGGACGTTATCAAATGACTTCTCTCTTCAAGATTTATAATACACTAGTGACCCGCCCCAGCTTCGCACGGGTGCAATGCTGATACTAAATATATTTTTGTTTTGTTTAGATTATTATCGAAAAGGGGAAATCTTCAAAAGATACCCCCTGAACATACTAAATATACTACAGAATGTCTTTATATACAACATTCACAGTTTTTTTGTCATTAGACAATACAAACCGGCCTCCCGGCCGGTACCGCCGCAACCGCTATGTCCCTGCATTTTAAATCTGTAATATCTTCGAAAATATTCATTTAAATTACATGCTGTAAAGGGCCATATTGATCTATATTAAATGCACAATGTATTTAAGGTACTTAATTGGATAAGAATTAATGCTGTATTGCCTACAATCGCTTCGTAAATAAGTCATTATTTCTCATAAAAAGTAAAGGATAAAAATGGTTATTGTGGGTTATCCCTAAGAGATAGACATATACCATCGCGGACTTTTTTGTAGACCCTTTTAAGATGTACAATATTGTAGTACATTAGTTTGATCTATCTCGTAGGGTTCCGCCAGCGTTTGCAATGTAAGCGCAAAAAATGTGTTTATTTACGACATCACATTAGAAACCTCTAAAATTATCACTGTTTCCCTACTATATTATGCATGTATTATACATATAAACCTTCCTCTTGAATTACCCTATCTATTAAAAAAAACCGCATCAAAATCCGTTGCGTAGTGTTAAAGATTTAAGCATACATAGGGACAGACAGCGGGAAAGCGACTTTGTTTTATACTATGTAGTGATTAACAACAAAAAAAAAACGGTGAGGTTTGGAATATCTTTAATAATAAGATTTACTTTTCTTAGGGAGTGTCTTTGCCGGCTACATTTCATTTGGGGCCAGGGCAACCGATCTCATCACGGCCAGTGTTATGTCAGCTCCAGCTGCCCTCTGTTTTAGCAAACTTGTTTATCCAGAAACGGAAAAAACTTCCGCCACAAAAGAAGCGGTGTCTCTATCAAAATCGTAAGTATTTTTCACGAAAAAAAAAAATTAGATCTCATCAGCACGCCATGGGCAGTCTTTGAAGATTTATCGTTTACGTTAAGTGAATGGATTTCTTGTTTTATTTTAGAGGTTACACATCTGTCCTGGATGCAGCATGTAAAGGAGCTAGTCAAGGAATGGAACTGATCCTAGGTATAATTTCAAACGTTATCGCTCTCATAGCGTTCGTATCGTTTGCAAGTGCGGTTTTGGAATGGTGCGGCACATTAGTAGGTAGGAATAATATTGACTTTTTTGTAGCAGATAATGTACAATAACAAAGATCGAAATCATCAAAATTCAAATTTATTTTGAAGGATTCACCGAAGAGGGTGAAACATGGACGATATACAGGATAACTGGTTACATATTTACGCCCTTAAGCTACATTATGGGAGTCCCATGGGACGAATGCTATTCCGTAGGGAGGCTGATCGGGCTTAAAACAATCCTTAACGAATTTGTAGCTTTCCAAAATATGCAGTCGATGGTTTTAACGGTTGGTCAAGTATTTAAAGAATTGTAAATCACACACACAAAAAAAAACAAATTATTGAGTGCTTTTTATCGATTTGAAACACACCAGGGGGATTCCCCGAATTTATCATTTCATATGGACCATAGAGTAACGTATACATTTAAATTTTTGTAGTGCTCTTTAGGGGTTACAAGAAAAAAAAATATTAAACAATATAACCATCTTCATAAGCCTTTGCCGTAATTAATAAAATACATTAACGCACATTTAATCAATGATAATTAATGAGTTACGTTCCCTATATTAATAACGTAATTGCAATTTTTCAATAATTATTTACATAGTCATCATCATCATCATCATCATCAAGTGGTCTCTATTCTGCCGAAACTGCCAGACGTGGATCGCGATTTCGATCTTTTTGGATCTCATCAGCGCGTCGTAGACAGCTCCGACAGAACATAAACCAACTTTTACCTGCTGTCTTAATCATCATCATCATCATATTTTTTTGACGTGACAACGTCTTATAATTCGATGGAGCCGGCTGCACGCACGAAAAAATATGACTCATGCGGCGTTACCTCGCTCTGAGGCGTTCCATTTACGGCTTGAAGTGCAAGCGAGAGCGCGGAAAGAGCGACAAAGAGGCACAATCGGCGTTCGACATCTGTCTCTCTCCTACTCGAGTGAGCGATGCGTCCGCGTGAACAGCTGCTATACAATAATACATTTCCATTTACCTCCTTCTCTATATCCATACAAAATATCTATCAAACAAATAAAATTAAAATTTTCTTTTGAAAAATGAAACCATTCCATCAGTATTTTCTTATGACGTTGTCACGTTCAACTATCGTCAGTAAACCGACTTTACAGACAACCGATTTTTTTTTTTTTTCTATTTCGATAAATCCCCTTGTTTGATAGTTTTTGTTGACATCACCTTTTTATTTAAGTACATATCCCAAATTTATAACTGATTTAGTTAAATAAATACGTAGCAATAACAGAAGTCCACTATAAAAGGATAAATATTTGGTTTTTTCTTTTGTAACAGGAAAGGACAAAAGTGATAGCAACGTATGCCATCTGTGGTTTCTCCAACCCTGGATCTATAGGCATAACGGTTTCCGGCTTAAGTACATTAGTGCCCACGAAAAGGGAAGTGATAACAAGGCTCGTTTTTAGGGCGTTCGTCGGGGGTGCAATTGTCTGTCTAATGACCGCGTGCATAGCTGCCATGGTCTTACCGTATGATGTGATAATTTAATTATTGGTTTTTGTTGTTGTAGGTACAAATAATTCAGTTTCTTCTTTAACAGAATACAATGACAAAAATACAACAACAATGCCTTTTATTTACCCCTTTTACTTCTAAAGCTCCTTATTTAATGATATATCATTTTTTTTGTTTTTTTGAAATATTTGTACAAAGGTTATTTTATGAAAGCATTATTTTGTGTAACATCTTATTGTAAAAATATAAATCAAAGGAAAACAAAAGAAAAACAAATACGTAAAAAAAATAACTAAAACAACTTCACTACTGTGGAAAAAAAAAAATTGGTATTCTTCTTTAAAACAGAACTTCCTTCAAAACAAATCAAAATTACACCAAAATAACTTTTTACTGCTGTAATGCTGTGCCTCAACAATGATCTCTCTTACGGAATAACATCCGAAAGGAATTCCTACAAAACACTCTTGCACTTGATCGAAAATACAAAATGATCGTTACAAATACCAACTTTTTAAATTAGCAACGGTCCCAAAATTCTTTAGCAAAAATCTAAAGAAACCATAGAAGAAAAAATAGCCGATTCCATTTTGGATTATAAAATTAATTCTCTTATAAAACACCAACTATTTATTTACTAAACGTACGAATCTTCACGAATGAGTGGAATATTATTCGACTGATCGACCAAAGTAACCTAAAGTCAAACACTAAAGAACTTTGCTAACAAGAAATTAATATTACAGGACAAAAATCCTTCGAAACAATAAGTGTATTATGAAGTTGAAAAGTTTCGAAAAGTAGAAAATACCACAAATGGCGCGGTAAACGCCATCTGTAGTACGATGCTACATTTTAGGATTACGTATGCTCCAACAAGGTCCATTTAAATATAGGTATATCTACTTGCTGAAACGAATCCCGGCGTAGCCAACCTCAACGTGATAGGCACGTTACCGTAATCGAATAAAATAATTCCAAGTGGTCTGTATTCTGTCGAAACTGCCAGACGCGGATCGAACTATAGATGGCGTTTATCGCGCCATTTGTGGTATTTACTAAAACGCGCGGTTAAGGCAGCAGGTAAAAGTTGGTCTGTGTTCTGTCGGGCTGTCTGCGACGCGCTGATGAGATCCAAAAAGATCGAAATCGCGATCCGCGTCTGGCAATTTCGACAGAATACAGACCACTTCGAATTATTTTTTTCGAAAAGTAGATAGCCTTCCTTTGTTCGGACTGAAAATTCCATGTATTTTTTATGAAGTTTCATTTTCCTCCTTTCTGTCCAATTTCACTCCCTCCGCTCCTACTCTAACGTCACAGACGTCTACCATCTTTGACACCTGTCACCGTCAGCCAGAGTTTCGCCCCGCTCGTTCTATTGAGGCCATATTACATTTGTATTTGAATTTCCCGCTATTTTAGCTATAATTTGACAGCTGTCAAAGATGCCTCACGGCCGTGACGTCATAGTAGGAGTAGAGGGGGTAAAATTAGATAGAAAGAACGAAAATGATCCTTTATAAGAAAATACTTAGGATTTTGAGACCGAATGAAGGTAGACTGCTTATCTACTTCGAAAGATTTCTGTCCATAAAAAAACCATGTGGAATATAACCACTTACTGAAAGGTTCCTCTTCTTCAGCAACTCCCACGATGACCTAACAAACCTGAAACAAGAAGAAATAATAAATTAGAATCCCTCACCGCGCATTGGATCTGAAAACTGATTAATTCCAAAAAGACTCGAATCTTAATGAAAAAACATGCTAACCTTTAATTGTAGATGCGATAAGCCCCATCCTTTGCACCCAGTCACCTCCCTCCAATGTAACATCCACAAGACACACGCACAATACACTCCCGCACTTCACCGAGCACGATACGACCGTATCAAACACCAACTTTTTATTTACTAAACCTACGAAATTTTCGCGAACGTAAGTTAAAAATGACACTCCTACTCGATCGATCGATCACTAATCACAATTAAAAGAGACCTGAAATCAAACAGAAAAGTTAGTTAAGACCTGTGGCATTGAAAGACAATACCGTAAACGTTACCTTTAGAAGGTTCTAAGAAAATCGATTTGAGGCCCACCACCGCCCCCGTTCGTCACCCGAACGGTCCACAAAAAATTTATTACGAAGAATTTGAAAAAACCTTTCATCTTCATCTAGTCGTTCACAAATACCAACACCGTCTACCTTAAATTATAAAACATCTAAAATCGCCCTGAGTATTCAAATATAAAGTGGGTCGATCCGGTTGGGAACCAACAAAATTCACTTTTTCTGGATTCACTGAATTGAAGGCAATATCAAAACCAGTAATAACGGATTCAAAACATTATTTTACATTGTTTCTTACAGCCGAAATTGTAAATATAATGGTTGCGGAAACAAACTTATATGCCACACATATCCTGATGGACAATGAAGATGTAGGTTCAAGCTACCAGCTACATGGATGGTGTCCCACAACTACTTCAGAGATGAGAAGTTTTATAGCCACTTCACGACAGTATTTGTGTATTCGATGTTTATCTGCAGAGGCAGTATTGTAAAAGGCGTGGACAAAAGACAGAATAAAAGCCCAAGAAACATTAAAGATTGTAATATTTACAATCCTTCTGTATAATCAGTGTATATTTCACTGACAGTATTTGTATATTCGTTGTTAATCTGCAGAGGCTGTATTGTAAAAGGCGTGGACAATAGACAGAATAAAGGCCCAAGAAACATTAAAGATTGTAATGTTTACAATCCTTCTGTATAATCAGTGTATATTTCACTGACAGTATTTGTATATTCGTTGTTAATCTGCAGAGGCTGTATTGTAAAATGCGTGGACAATAGACAGAATAAAAGCCCAAGAAACATTAGATTGTAATGTTTACAATCCTTCTGTAAAATCAGTGTATATTTCACTGACAGTAATTGTATATTCGATGTTAATCTGCAGAGGCTGTATTGTAAAAGGCGTGGACAATAGACAGAATAAAAGCCCAAGAAACATTAGATTGTAATGTTTACAATCCTTCTGTAAAATCAGTGTATATTTCACTGACAGTAATTGTATATTCGATGTTAATCTGCAGAAGCTGTATTGTAAAAGGCTTGGACAATAGACAGAATAAAAGCCCAAGAAACATTCATAATTGTAATGTTTATAATTCTTCCAGGAATTCAGTGTAGATTTTACTGATTCTATATGTTTATTTGACATAACTGCAGAGGTGGTATATGTACACCTTTTGAAACAGCAAATTCATTAGTTACAAAAAACATAACTAATGAATCTGATTTGTGAATAAACGATTAAGAGAAAAACGAATGGTTTTCTTTAAAACTAAAACAGTGAAAATAAACATGAAAAAAATTAAATGTGGCTAATAACATGCAAATCTATTACACATTTTACAATGGTACTTTAGATTGATGCAGAATAAATTGCACATTACTTTGTAGTTTATCTGGAGAGTAAATTGGATACTAGTTTACAATTTACTCACAGTCTTTCAATTAAGAAAAGAAATCGCAAAAGCGACCATAAACAAGAAACAAAAGAATATTTGTTGAGAACATAAAATACATAAATCAGTTCACAATTACTTTTCTCATGTTTTGTGCACAATAAATTGCATAATAGTTTACAATTTATTTGCAAATTCCACCCATCCAAGACTATGTGCAGAAACCATAAATTCCAAGCAAATTGTAACACAGTATTTGTGCTATTCATTTCTTTCTAGTTTTCATCCTCTTAAAGATGAAGGTGGAAAATTCTTTTACAATGTATACCCATGTATAGTTACATAATTATTAAAACCTTCAGTTTTACCCATAACGATATCTTCAAGAACCATAAAATTGTAGATTTGTTTACAATTTATCTTCTTGAGAAAATCAGCATTGCAAGTGGACAGAAGGCACAAATACTCGAAAGAATAACGATAACGACTCAAATATAGAAAACACAGTTTTAGATCATGTGTAAAACATGTGGGTACACCATATACCTAAGAATAATGAAAATTGTTGGTTATAAATTTTCACACACTTGTTGAATAATTATTACGTATTTTTAGGTACGCAATTACATAACATTTAACGTAGGTACCTAATATTTAAAACGAAAACAAGTATAAAATCAAAGTTACAACAAATTAAAAGTAGAAATGATATTAGGTATGTGGTAGTATTGTCCACCATACCATAATAAATATTATCTATGTACATTGTACGTTTATGTTAAATCAAAAATAATACGTTTCTAATATAATATTCGTGTTCTAAACACGTCTATACCTTTATTTCTACACCACATCACATTTTACCACTGTTTTTGTAAGAAAAATGTTCACCAGACTAATTTAGTACATTGTGTCACTAGTTGACAAGATGCAATTTTTTACGCGCATCGCTACTGCGCAGGCCATTGATCTACAAAATCATGGCCGATTTCTCCTAACTTTTCTTTCAAAATTAAAATAAATAAAAAATACCCAATTAATAAATTCTAATTACTAAATTGAAATTCTGTAGCTAATCAAGAGTTTCAAAACTCTAAAAGACGAATAAATTGTAGATAACCTTCTAATTGATTCGTAAAACAGGTTCATAATCGAGAAAAAATGAAAATATTAGAGCAAGAAGTGTATAACAAATAAGATGGAGACAAATGCATTGCAGATTAGTTTGCAATTAATTTGTTTGAGTAAAATGCAAGATAAATTGTAGATTAGTTTACAATTTATTTGCAAGCCCAAAAATTTTCTTGAGAAAATCAATACAGACACAAGTAGACAAATACCACAAGTAATCGAATAAATAACGACAATAGATCAAATTAGTAGAACATATACACACATTCAAGTAGAAATATCTGTGTACATTAAAAATCACACAGAAGTATTTTCGAATGAATACTGAAAGCAGTTAATATTCGTAAATGTAGAAATAATACCTTTACCAAGTAACATTTGTGTTTATAAACACATTTTTACCTTTGTTTTTACCCCACAACACAGTTTTACCACTTTTTTTGTAAAATAAATGCTCACCAAATAAATTGTGACACTGACTCTAAACAAGATGGTGCTGCATTCTTCACGCGCATCGCTACTACGCAGAATTTTGGCGCACAAAAATCACAGCCAACCTTTCGAAACTTTCTTCCGAATTTAAAATACATGAAAAATATAGTATTAAAACTCATGTGAATTGGAAGGTATTAGCTTAGTGGAAGTTTTAAAACCCCAAAAATCGAATAAACAGTAAATTAAGCTACAATTTAAGTATTTATAAGCACAAAAATTCCTGTGAGAAAATCAATACAAATAATAACAAGTGAACAAAAAGCACAAAATGGTCGGATGGTTAACAACGAATCAAATAAACAATACAAATCTGTGTAGATTCAAATAAAAATTCATATATATCATACATGAAAATGATAAATTAAAAAAATTAGGCAAAATCATACAGCAATATTTTCGAATGAATACTGAAAGCAATTAAAATTATTAAATACAGAAATAATACCTTTACCAAGTAACATTTGTGTTTCTAAACACATTTTTACCTTTGTTTTTACCCCACATCACATTTTTACCACTATTTTTGGAAAATAAATGTTCACCAGACTAATTTTAGTACGTAAAGTCACTGATTGTTGGCGTTGTAAGATATTTCACGCGCATCGCTACTACGCAGGTTTTTAACTCACAAAAATCATAGCCAACTTTTCCAAACATTCCCTAACCATATATAATAATTATATTCAATTTAATTATTACATTATCATTAACAATTTTTAAAAAAATACTTTAGTCATCGTTTAACATTGAAATATGTTTCTTCTTCGTAAGCGTATAATTAACTTCAAGGCGGGTGTATAAACATGGCGTCCGCATAACAAAAACGTATCGCCCATTGTATGAAGGCCTAAAAGAACATGTTGAAAGTAAAAAATGACGATAAGATAAATAATGTAGTCAGATTGCATTGTGCGTTTCAAGTATTGTAACGAAATCTTCCTGACTATTCTCAATCGATAAATAAAATTGATCCCCGATGTAGATTATGAATAAAGGGCTTAACTTTGTAATCATTATAAATATGGGCGCAACTTTTACATTTATCTATCTATTTATACACNTTATTATGACTCCGCCTATATTGACCAACCGCTTAATATGAAGTAATTGCAGTGTTAAATTTGGTTTTCATATTAAATTATCTATAGGAAAGTTTGGATATACTAACTCCGTTTAAAAAGATATATCGTTTATTACAACTAATTCTCAAGAAATCATATCCGGCTGTAGTGAGTGACCCATATGATTAATAATAAGTAATAATATTTTCGCTCATTTTTTTGACCCTTCTCATTCCTGCTCCTGCATTATTGACTTCTTATGTAAAAAATGACAAAATATGTATATTGATATTAGAATTCATCGTTCTTTTTCTTTTTCTGTTAGTAAATATATATAATTTGTTTTTCTCTCTATTAAACTAAATAACTAACCAAAATAGAAAGTTGTTTATTCTCTGAGACTATGTTTCGTATGACGTATATATATAAGCGGAATCTACTGTATATTAAACAAATCGAATTAATTAAAAAGATTTCTAAGGGTTCTTTTGGAACAAAAACTTTTTTGAATCATACGGTTGACAATAAACTATGAAGAAGAAATTTATTTGATACAGTTTTGGAATCAATTTGAACTTTTTTATCGAACTAATATAACTAAAAAATAAAAGTTTACGATATCAAATCCTATGACATTGTTAGTTACTTAATAGTGGATTAATATGCAATATTAATTTGAAATCATTTTTTTCGATTCTTTATTTACCCACTACAAACTACCTCAAATTAATGACGAAAAAATTGCTGCTGTTGTCATACCCCCGCCGGGAATCGAACCCGGGACCTTTGGCTTTATGCACCATTGTTCTAACCCCTAAACTACGAGAGGTGACAACAGCAACCACGACCATCCGACCTACAAGGTTAACGATCCGTCGATTTTTATTAACTTAATTATATATATATTAAATATATGGAATAGTATGACATTGTTAGTTACTTAATAGTGGATTAATTTTTTCCCACATTAATTTAAGGTAGTTTGTAGTGGGTAAATAAAAAATCGGAAAAAATGATTTCAAATTAATATTTACGATATCAGATTTAATAAATTTGTTTCACTATAACAAAGAAAAAGTCTAAAACTTACTTGAACGGTTAAAGCCAAGACAAAGAAAACGTAAAGTTTCGTCATTTTCGAACTTTGGAAGCTTCAAGTGCAGTGACTAAAGACAATTGCAGTACTAGGTGGTACCGGTGCTTAAGCGTCTATTTAAAGTGAATTAAACGAACGACCCCCGACCTCTGCCTCTGCCCACAGTTGATAACACAATTACTTAACAAATATTCTTGCAAACAACAAACAGAAGTATAAAAATATGCACTTAGAAGTTCCTATATATCAACATTAATTGATGTCTAGGATACATGAAAAAACTCGGTGGTGACGAATGGTACTATGACTCATAATGAGCGGTACCTCCCGTAATATACCTAACGACCGTCTCTCATAAAAGTGAAAATGTGAAAAACACGGAAAATTTTCAATAGCAATTGCTACTTAAACGTTTAATATTGATCAAAGGAGACTTTGTTTTAGTTTATTAATGTATATAAACGGAAAATGTGTTTCTTTATGAAACAATGCGATACCAATACTGCTCAACATCGATAATTAGACTACATTAAAAATTGCAAATTTGGTAGAAAAAATACTTTGTGTATTGTGAGTAGTCGTTGTTTAAAAATGATGATAAAATATCAAGGACTAAACACTAAACTTATAAAAATACTATTCATCAAATTTGTATTTGCAAAATAGAATTACTTCTAACACAACAAAACTATTTATTTATTGATGTACGTATATATATATTATCAGAAATTGATTTTTTAATAATTTTGTTTAATTTATAATTTTAACAAAAATAAGATGTAGAGAATATGCAAACAATTAGCTTGAAACCAATCGATTTACTTGACTATGTAGAAGCTGAAGATATATATAACTTCATTATCAAATGATGAAATGTATCATGCCGGCAAACTTTCAAATTAAAGACAATTGATAACAAATTTTTTATTTTTAATTAGATGACTTTTACGCTCTAAAATCTGAAAAATAATTACAATTAGTCACCTAGTTACTTTACAGCTACCTTTCAAAAGTAAAAAATTTGTTATCGCTTCAAATCTTGTCGACAAAAAAATTAAATTGCTTTTTGGGGGGTTGAGGGGGGGGGCTGTAAACATTACCCCTTTAGATTATAATCTGTTATCCAAATTTAAATATGTACATTACTGCAATTATGTGCAATTTTTTATCGTTTAATCAAATTTATTTATTATCGATAAAAAAATAAATTAATAGTGATGAGTACAATTTGATTAAAAAAAGGACACGGGGACTGTTTTACTGTGCAGGGAGTCACGTACTTATTGGAAGAAAAAATTAAATAATAATTTTCAAAGGTTAAACTAAAATGTACAACACATAACACACTTGAAATATCGAGTGGTGCATTAAAAAAATAATAAAATTTATTCATTGACCTTGCTTACCTACCAATTATTTATTATTTAAAAAAAATTGGATTTAAAAATGCATGCAACAGAAACTGTAATAAATAAAATAGTCATATCAATATTTATTAGATTTATTTGTGTTTCTTTGTAAGAGATCGTCAAAAATATTTTATAAAAAAATAGTTGAATTAGTTAATTGGATTTTTGTTTACTTTTTTATTAATTCTAGCGCAATAGGCTTCACTTAAACGTCAAGAATTTGATTTTTATTAATAATTCTGTGAATATATCAAATAGTCATTATAAGTATCAACAATACTAGGGTGGGGGGGGGTGTTTTTTTAATTATTTTTTTGTGTTTTGAGTTAAATGCCTTGAAGCGTCATGTGTTTTTTGGGAATTCTAGGAAAGGCAAATGCGCATTTTGAAGGTGGTTTACAGTCAGTCAGTCCTCTTGAGAAGGTCCTTCGGCAGTATTCAAAGTGCTTGAGATAATGAATTTGTAAACACGGTGTCCAATCAGTCCCAAATCTAGGCTAGATAAGAGCCACTATAATCACCGAAGTATATATACTATCTGACCATTACCCTTTACAGATTCATTGTTTCAGTTCGGAAATTTCTTCTGCATTTTACTGGATAAGCATTGACGTGCCAAGGTAAGTTTTCGAACAAAATAAAAATAAAAAAGAAACTGTGCACTCATCAATTTTCGACTGTTATCTAACGGATCGTACTGCAAAAAAAAGTAATTCGCGAATATTTTTCCGAGAATACTTTCCCGTTTTTGACTTCTCCAAAATGATTTTGTAAAGAGTGGTTGATTTCAAAGTTCATTAAAAATTGTTGTACGTTGCAGATGGCTTGCAATTGCCAGGGGACACCCATGGGTCCAACACTCGCTGAAGTGTGTGGTGGAGGGGCATTCTGGGTGTTCATGAGCGTATTCGAGGCTTTTCTTCGAACCCAATGCGACATTGAAGACCCATGCGGAAGACCGAAGGAAACTGAAGTGGTTTTACCAGCATACGATTTTATAGTGATTGGAAGCGGCGCAGCTGGTGCAGTGGTCGCCAGTAGACTATCGGAAGTACCAGACTGGAAAGTCCTGTTGATAGAAGCCGGTAAATTCCCCTATAAAACTAAACCCATTTTGCGTTATCCAATCCATCTAAATTAATCTTCAGGTTGGGACGAACCCACGGGAACTCAAGTTCCACCCCTTTATGTCAACTATATTGGATCTCCCATCGACTGGGGTTATTATACTGAACCGGAATCCGAAGCCTGTCTCAACCACGACAATCAAAGGTGTTACTGGCCCAGAGGAAAGGTATAGAACGGAATATCTTATTTCGTCTATAACAAGGATTAACCCATTATTATGATTAAACAGGTAATGGGAGGTACAACCGTGCTGCATGGCATGATGTACACCAGAGGGAATCGGTATGACTATGATAATTGGGCAGCTTTGGGAAACCCCGGTTGGAGTTACGAAGAAGTCATGCCATATTTCCTCAAGAGCGAAGACAACAAGCAGTTCAACGAAATGGAGAGGGGCTATCACGGTCTCGGCGGTCCTTATACCATAACACAATTCCCATCTCATCCACCTTTTGCTAACGCTCTCATCCAAGCCGGCGACGAACTGGGATACTCCCCGAAAGATTTGTGTGGCAGAAACCAGACCGGTTTCATGATAACGCAGACCACAAACATGAACGGAGTTCGTCAGAGTTCTGCCCATGCGTACATAAGACCAGTTCACAGAAGACCCAACTTGCACATCCTTTACAACTCAACGGTGACGAGACTCCTCATAGATAACGACACGAAAAGCGCCTATGGCGTGCAGTACATGAAAAACGGAAAGTTTCATAACGTAAATGCAACCAAAGAAGTTGTTGTATCAGGAGGTAACAATATACTTTTCAAGCGTCTAAATTTCGACGGACTCTGGATGATAACTGTACATTTTCAGGTTCTGTAAATTCACCCCAACTTCTCCTTCTTTCCGGTATTGGTCCAATGGACCATCTTCACGAAGTGGGAGTTCCCCTAATGCACCATCTGCCAGGCGTTGGAGAAAATCTTCACAATCACGTCGCGTACAATATGACGTTTTATCTGAACGAAGCCAACACAAGGCTCCTAGATTGGGCGAGTGCCATGCAGTACATCTTGTACAGAAACGGCGCGTTAAGCAGCACAGGTAAATAACAATAATCATGAATTAAAAACAAAAAAAACACTCGAACCGAATTACAATGCAATGCAGTCGAACTAAAAACAGAAAAAGGCGAAACGCAAGGCGTAACACTCGTAACTCGTTTCGTAACAGTTGCAATGACCTTAACGGCTTATCAAACTTGTTACAACGTCTAATTAAATAATCAAAAGTGAAGGTCAAGTATAAAATTCGTCCGTGCCGCTGCAGCAATTACAACAATGTAAATAATTGTTGTACGCCCCGTCTCATGGTGAATGCAATCCAATTAGTTTTTGTTAATTGATTTCTAATCTAATTCTCCAATCTGAACAAGTACCTACCTACCTAATCCTAACTAAATGTTTAATAATTAATCAAAATTTCAATAGGGTTAACGCAAGTTACCGGATTTATCAAGACTAAATATGCCAATCAGACGGAAGATAATCCCGACATTCAGTATTTCTTCCACGGTTACTCTCCCGACTGTTCCGAAACTGGTACTGTCGGTGAACTGATCAACAACAATTCCAGAGCGTTTTTGATGTGCCCAACCCTTATAAAACCGAAGAGTCGAGGTTTTCTTAGGTTACGTAGCGCTGATCCCATGATGTCCCCGGCCATTTACGCTAGATACTTCACGGATCCCGACGATGTCAAAGTACTGGTCGAAGGTGTGAAATTTGCCACAAAATTCGTCAGTACGAAAGGTAAAATATACGAAAAACGAACACGATAACAAGTTATCCATAAATATTTTTTTAAAGCAATGAAAAAGTATGGACTTAGGCTAGACATGACCCCTGTGAAGGGTTGCGAGGATCTCGATTTCGGTTCGGACGCCTATTGGGTTTGTGCCGCTAAGAGAAATACCGCTCCAGAGAATCACCAAGCTGGAACCTGTAAGATGGGACCCAGTTCCGATCCTATGGCGGTTGTAAATCATCGATTGCAGGTATTAAATGTATCTTTTTCTACAACTTTTACAGGCCTTTCGCAAAGATGCCGAAAAGATGTCCAAATCTGAAGGTATCTACGAAATATTTTTGCCTTTGATTCCAAATTGTAAATTAATCGAATCTTTCCAAAAGGATCTCCAAATGATCTTCAATTGGAACGACCTCCAGAACTGAAAGAATCTACCGAAAGTTTTTTAGACTTGATTTCAGTTGTTTTGAAATTGGTATAAACGATTTGGATTGATAACGTTCGTATTTTTAGGTTCACGGAATAGACCGTTTGAGAGTAATAGACATGAGTATAATGCCTCAAGTGGTCTCGGGAAATCCTGCAGGTCCTACCACCATGATCGGTGAAAAAGGAGCGGACATGATCAAGCAGAGGTGGATGGCAGCGGAACGATCGGTCGTGATTAGCGCTAGTCAATAGTTGTAAATATGTAGTAAATAATAATGGAGTTAGAAATATTTACAGTTAGATTTAGTAGAGAGAAATAACTGATACTCCCGTATATTTTATCTAATGAATGATTTATATTTTTTATGGTTTACAATGAATGAATAGACTTGTATAAAAAAACAATTGCTACTTTTGAAATTATTACAACTCCAATCCTCTTCCCATATCTTTATATCTTTATTTTTCCCTCCAAAGGTAAGTAAGTTGATGACAAAAAAAACTCGAAGTCTTTTTCTAAATTGTTTATTTTTTTAATAACCTTTAAAGCACATCAACTTCAACATTGTCTCAATCGTCACTTTATAATACTAATGTTTTTTAGCCTGAGAGTTGTTTACGGCTTCGTTGACTTTGGTCTGTAATTTTCGGGCACTTTCGACAAATTCATTCAAGACGTTCTTAGTCAAGGAACTGACGCGTTCTCCGGCTTCTAAAATATAAGAAAGGATTGAGTTAAATTTTTAAAAATGACCCTATGTTCTAAGGGGTGCCAAGCGACACGCATCAGTAAAATGTCGAAATAAATGTTTTGTTCTTCTTGGTCGTAAAAGATGTCGCACTCTGCACCTATGGAGATCACAAAAGGGTACCGTGAAAGCTAAAAGGTCTTTGTTCCAGGTGCAAATGATTTGTTATTTTACTGATTGTACGAATTTACGGGGCAAGTGGATTTCAACTACAACAAAGATAAAACTAAACAACATACTGACCATTTAACTGTGGTTGAACGGCTTTGACTAAAGTGTCGATTTCTTGGGCTACACTTTTAACATTTTCGTCCAATTTTTGTTTGATTTCCGTGGCTCTAGCAGTAACTTCTGGTCCTGCAGCATTTTGGAGGCTTTTCACTGTTTCGGATAGTTTTTGAGACGCCTGTTTGATGGCATCATCAACTACTCCTTTATTTTCATTCAACTAAAAAATAGATAGAACAATTTAAAGTTTAAAACAGTTGGTTTAGGAAAAAATTAAAATAAACTGAGATGCTTTGAATTTTTGTAGCGTTAATTCAATATATTAGTGAATTAATTTTACCCACTACAGTTAATCTCATATTAATGAGGAAAATTGTTGTTGCCTTGCCCTTGCCGGGAATCGAACTCGGGGACCTGGCCACCAAGCTACAGGGTACCTATAGTCCGTGTTGTTGGTGCGTAAAATTAAGGCCCCGGGTTCGATTCCCGGCAAGGAATTGACAACAGCAACTATTTTTTTTTATTAACTTGAGGTTATATGTAGCTGGTAAAATTAATTCACTAACAGATTAAAATACACCCTTGAAAAACTTACACCAGATTGTAGTTGATTGACAATGTTTTTGACGTTGTCTGCAAATTGTTGACTTTGGTCTTTCAGGACATTTGTAACTTGTGCCGAATCAGGAAGTGAGTCTTTAATTGTTTTGGATAAACTATTAGCAATGTCCATAGCTTGTTTTGATAAATCAGCAAAAGCATTTTCTGTAGATGCCTGCGGTGCACCTGCTGATTTTGCCAAGCAAATCTGAAATAGAAATAAAACAATATATCAATTTTAATCATATTGTACAAAAAATGATTCTATAACTATTCTCTTTTTAATTTATATATTGTTATTACTTGCTCCGTAAATTTTTATAGTAATTTTGTAAATGGTTTTAGTAAGATATCTTATTTCAAAACAAAATAATCAAATAAACTGCAAACTAAGTTTTTGGGTTCAATGTAGGGGTTACAGTTGCTGATAATAGTTATCAAATGTGTATATATTTTATTTACCTAAATCATTGGTTTTATATCTTCAGAAAGGTGATGGTTTGTCAATAAAGGATTCAAGAACAAAACTAAACATGAGATAAGGCCCAGTTTCATTTAAAATTATATTCTAATACAGTGGAATTTGTTTATTATGACTCCGCCTATATTGACCAACCGCTTAATATGAAGTAATTGCAGTGTTAAATTTGGTTTTCATATTAAATTCTCTATAGGAAAGTTTGGATATAATGACGCCGTTTAAAATGACATATCGT